CAGGGGGGGATCTATTCAAAGAGGCCTACCCTGACTGTCCCAGATGGCGGGTTCTTCCTCCCTCACTGATCCCCCTTGTGAACTCCCCATGGAGTCCCAGGTGTGGTGTTAGAAGGCTCTGAAGAGGCGGAGGGTCCACGCCTCATTTTGGAGGTGCCTTGGCCCAGGGAGAGTTGATGACTTACCTCAGGCCACAAAAGTCGCTGTCCAGGTCCCTGCCTCCAAGCTAGCGTGGTTTCCACTGGGTCACACTGGGATCTAAGCCACATGATATTTGTAGGCCTTATTCCCCCCTCTCAGTAGCAAGCGCCTCTGGCGCCTGGCCTACATTCCTGTGTCACTGTAATTACATACGGAGGTGGAGAAGGCACTTTAAAGGTCATCCAGGCCAACTCCTTTACAGACAAGGGAAACTGAGACTCTGAGAGGTTAGTAGACTAGCTCAGAGTCCTACCACTAGTAAGTGCCAAAGGCAGGGTTGGAACCCAAGGCTTCCTGATTCCTTGCCTCTGATGGACATTTTTCCAAAGTAGGAACTCAATAAATTCCCTTTGACTGAATATATTTGAAATTGGGGGGAAAAAAAGGTGGAGGGGCAGGAATTTTATCCATTCCAAATATTACATAAGAATTCAATTCCAAGGGGCAGCTAGGTGGCACAATGGATAGAGCACCAGCCCTGAAGTCAGGAGGACCTCAGTTCAAATACAGCCTCAGACTAAACACTTGGCACTTACTAGCTGTGTGACCCTGGGCAAGTCACTTAACCCCAATTGCCTAAAAAAAAAAAAAAAGAGTTCAATTCCATTTAATCCAGCCAACATTTATGTATACTTGTTAGGCATCCCGACTCAATGCTTGGCACACAGAGACACACAACAAATGCCTGTTTGTTGACTGATTTACTCTGTGCAAGACCAAGGCTGAGAGCTAGGGATGCAGAGATGGGCACAAAGAATCCCACCACTGCCCTGCTCTCAAGCAACTCCAGGAGGCCTCTTCCTGTGGACTGTTAAACCAACAAGCATTGACTAAATGCCTACTATGTGCCAGTCATTGGGGATAGAAGGCAAAAATAAAACAGAACATGGGAAGAAAGAAAAAACCGTGAAAAGCAGCCACTTCACATTTCATTAATTGAAAGTAATTTCAACTGATCAATTACCAGCCAATATGAAAGCACCTAGGTGCTAGGCAAAGCCAAAAAATAAACAAAAAAGTCCCTGCCCTCAGGGAGCAGCTATTCAAATGGGATAGAGAGCTGAATATGGAAACAGAAGACCTGGGTTCACACTCCTGACCTATAAGGCCAGGGCAAAGCATTTGTCTCTCTGCGCCTCAGTTTCTTCTACTTGCAAAAAAATAAATAAATAAAAAGGAGAGAAGGGCAATCTTGCCTGTCTGCCTCCCCTAGGGGTCGTTGTGAGGCTCACCTGAGAGGAGATGACACCTGTGAGGCGCTTTGCCAACTTTGAAACTGCTAACATGCTACACACAAGTCAGAGCTGCTCTTCCTGACCCTGGAGTCTCTACCTACCAGGTTCCCGCAGGGACGGAGTCTAGTGAGGAATAACCTTTACTGTTAGGAAAACCTAACCCTGACTCACTCAGCAAACTCAACTCAAAAGAGGATTCTGGGACAGTGGGGAAAGCGCCAGAATAGGGGGTTGGGGTCCTGGGTTCAAGTCCTTACTCTGCTACTGGCTTCCTGAGCGACCCCGAGCAAGGCCCCTCACCAATGTGAGCCTCAGTTTCCTCACCTGCAGCATGAGAGGCTGGAATAAAAAGAAAGGCAAGGAATGCTAATAGTAGCAATAGCTAGCATTTATATGGCGCTTTCAAGTTTGCAAAACACTTTACATAGGTATCCCATTTGACTTCCTGGGAGGTAGGTGCTATTATTTAAACACATTTTATTGATGAGTAAACTGAGGCTAAATGGGACAGCTAGGTGGCACAGTGGATACAGTACCGAGTCTGGAGTTATGAGGATCTGAATTCAAATTTGGCCTCACACAGTGACTAGCTGTGGGACCCTGGGCAAGTCACTTAACCCTGGTTGCCTCAGTTTCCTGATTTATAAAATGAGCTGGAAAAGGAAATGGCAAACCACTCCATTATCTCTGCCAAGGAAAACCCAAATGGGGTCAGGGAGAATCAAACATAATTGAAAATGACTAAAACAAACCACCCTGGGCCTCAATCTCCTCTTCTGTCAAATCAGGGGGCTGATTTCTAAGGTTCCCCTCCAGCTCCAAGACTCCAATTTTATATTCTAACCAATATGGCATATTGATGTAACGAGTTCTGTAAATCAGTCATTCAACCAACACCTGCTCTGTAATTTACCATAGTCCTGGAAGGGCTTCTTAAACTAGAGACTGGGAACCTTTTCAAATATATATTTTACAATTTTTTAATTTTTAAAATAGGTATATTTTGGAAACTATATTTCAATATAACTTCTTTCCTTTTTAATCTTATGTATTTTATTTTATGCATTTAAAAATATTCTTCTGAGAAGGAGTCCAGAACCTTCATGGGGCTGCCAGAGGGATCTGGGACACAAAACAAAAGGTAAGAACAGAGACTAGGAAACTCTCTAAGGCAAGAGAGTCAAATCTGCAGCAGCCTGCAGAGCCCCTGAGTACAAGCCAAAGCGGATTAAAATGTCACGGGAAATATTGAATAAACTAAATTAACATATAGTACAACCTAGGTAATATTAATTTATGGTTTCACCATGGATCCATTTCTATTTAAGTCTGACACTTTTTCTTAGAGCAATAAGAGGTCAGGTGACTTGCTGAGGGTCCCACGGGCAGTGGGTGGAATAGTTAAGACTTGAGCTCAGGTCTTCCTGATTCTAGCTACAACTATACCCCACTGCCTTCTTTGTAAAGTAAGCACTACCCTACTTGGTTCATAAATAGCTCATTCTTCCCTATGACCCTCAGATCATTTTCTCCAAGGATATCCACAGCCATCCAGCCTAGTGCCAGGAACTCAGCAGGCATGTAGGAGATGCTTGCTGGATTGAACATGCATGGAGTGAAATAAATATCAAAAGAAGGTCCAGACTCTGCAACTTCCTAACTTGTGTGACCTTGGGAAAGTCATTTCCCCTCTCTTAGCCTCGGTTTCTTCCTCTGTAATGAATGTGGAGAAATGTTGGAGTGGCAGATCTTCAAGGTCCCTTCCCCCTCTGCTCCCTGATACTCAACAAGAAGGTGAAAAAATTATGAGCAGATAATAAAAACCCACATACATTGTCTGAAGAAAATCAGTCCTAGATTACAGGACATTTACTTTCTCCGGATGTAGCTCCTCCCCCATTCACTGCGTGGTCACTGCTTGGCTTGCACTGGGTTATGGACAGTACCCTGGGAACTGTCCATGAACTGGTCACTGTAATGACTAGAATTGCAAGGGTTGCCTGTGGATCTCGCTGTTCCATAAAAGTCTAGGGTCAGGACTGACCTTGACCTGTCTCATCATTTTTGCCAAGATGGAGGCCAGAGTCATCCACAAATAAACAGTGGGATGAAAGGGGACACACAACTCCATACTTAAAATAAATGAGGAAAGGTTTCTTTTCCCCTATAAAAAGCACAACATCTAACTGTCAAGATGGAGTGGGGAGGGGGGAAGGAGAGGAGGGAGGATGGTACAGTGGAAAGCACATTGGACCTGGAGTCCAAAGGTTTGAGTTCAAATCACAACACTAGCACTTGTGAGTTGTCTGGACTGTGAGCTAGGTACTTCCCTTCCTGGGACTCATTTCCTCCTTTCCAGTGTGAAATGATAAAACAGCACCAGCTCCGAGGTCCCTTCTAACCCTAAGCCCAATTCCACGTTCTAACATTCTGTGCCTTAATCCTGTAAGGTGATTGGTGTTCTAGGTTAAACCTCCTGGTTTCACAGTCATCATTTAAACAAAAATATAAGGGAAGGAGAAAAGTCACAAACTGAATCCTTTTCCATCCTTCAGCTGTCTTTAAGAACAAGGAACAACACGTTTTCACAGATTTCTCCTATCTTGGAATAAACCTCTCAAAACTTCTTTGGCAAAGAACCCTGGGGAAAACTCCTGGAGAGAGAAGTCTTCTCATTCAGCAAGGGATGGGGGATTCTTTCCCCCATCAAGGAGGGAGTGATCAGGGCAGGGCTCAGCTTGGGATGGAAACCCCAGCTAAGGTGCAGGGGCACTTTCTAGCCTTGCCAACCTCAACCTCCATAAATTACTGAGGATGACATTCCCTGAGGAAGCCCGGAAGTTCTCAGGAATCCCTGGTGACTCTAGTTTCGTTACAATCGAATGCCCTACTTCCAGAATCCCATTGAGATCCTTGGACATCCTTTCCCCCAATCCCCATCACAACTAATCATTTCTGTGGTTCTCTTTTTATCCAGAGGGGAATAGTGGTGAGTGTTGGATTTTAAATCAGAACACCTGGGTTTGAACCACACCTCTGCCCCTTTCACCATCGTCTCTCTGAGCCTCAGTTTCTTTATCTGGAAAATGGGAATAATATACATGCACTATCTACCTCCCAGAGTGGTTGTGAAGTAGACTTTTTTTACTTTAAAACTGCCAAAAAAAACATGAACTGTTCTGATGACTGCAGAATGAAACTGTCATTTTAAATATTCCCACCCCCACCATTTTATTCAGCATTGTCCTGCCCTCAGTATAATCATTCAGTACGTATCTGAATGAATGATCATATAATGCAGCCATCCAAATGTTAACAATTATCAACTCTAAAGCTTTCATTTTGCAGGTGAGAAAAGTTTTGGCCTTGAGAATCCAAGTGACTTACCCAAGGTCACACAGTTAGAAATACTATTTCTATAGCACTTTGAGCATTCCGAGGCATGTTTCTCACAACAGTTTTGTGAGGCATACACACATTCTTCGTACTGATTTTATAAATGAGGAAACTGGTTCAGAAAGATGAGCTTCCTTTCTCATAATTAAAGACAGAAACCACGGGAGCTGGAATGGGAACTTAGGTCTTTGGCTTACCCATTTTTATTTGTTTTTGCTGTTTTTTGTTTTAGAACCACATTTATCTCTAAATGTATTCCTCCCCTCCCTCTCCCCACAGACCCATCCCTTATGGCAAAAAAAAAAGTTTTAAAGAGGAAAGATTTTAAAAAAGCAGCTTAGCAAAACTACCACATTAATCAAGCCTGATGGTGTATGCAGTACTCATTACCGAGTGTTGCCTCCCTACCTCTGCATGGGAAGGAGGGCCTTTCCACTATGGGAGGACAGGCCTAAGAAGTCACAGGAGTCTCAGGGGACACCGGTCCAACTACCTGTTAAAGATGAGAAAACCTGAGGCTGGGGAATTAGGTTCTTGTCCATGATTACACAATTAAATGAACATAGGTCATAGGATCAGAGATTATCAGCTGGAAGGACCTTCTAGGTCCTCTAATGCAACCTTGTCATCTTATAGATGAGGAAACTGAGGCCAGAGAACATCAATGACTTGCCCAAGGTCACAAAGGTAGTAAAGGACGTTGGCCACATTTGAACCTACGTCTTCTGAATCCAAAGTCAGGGCTCTTTCCCTTGAATGACAATTATTAGACAATTTTATCAGAATCTTAATTTGTAAATATCATGGTTTCCCCTTAACACAATATAATGAAACCATTCCAGCATCACTGATGAATTTAAAGGTCATGGAACAAGCCAATGGATGTTTAAACAACATTCTCATTCACCGGGAGCTGTCCACCCAGAAAGCTGAGCAGCAGCCCTTTACAGCCCTTCCCCTGGGCCCCCAGAGTGCCTTCCAGGGCCCCGGGAGGAACGAACATTGCATTAACCGCCAAACCAGCATCTTTATTACCAACCTCATATCAGCAAATATAAAACTGTGGAGCATTTTCCCGCTCCCCATACCCCAGCCTAGGCCCTGCCATTGGAAATCACTGGGGTCAAGAGCCCAGACCCTTAGCAGAACCAAAACCCGTGTCAAAAGCCAAAGAGAGGTTGACTCTTTCATGTGTCTGGTGACTCCCATGTACCCCTGTCCTCTGAGTATAGGGAAGAGGGTAAAAGTCAAAGATGAGGAAACTAAGAAGGAGGCAGCCTCAGGGACGAATATTTTAGATGGTATTTAATAGAGTAGGGAGCCAAGATACAGATATCAGATATCAGCAAGAGGGCAACAAATGTCTGTAAGAGGACAGGGCCTTAGCATATGCCATCCTGGTACTGGAAAAAAGGGTCTGGGGGTAGCTAAGGAAAAAAAAACTTTGGGGGACTGCAGACTGCAAAAATAAAGTTAGTCATTATTAACCGGCTTTTTTTTTTTGCGGGTTTTTCCCCCTTTCTTTTGTTTGTTTTTGTTTGTTTTTTTTTTCTTCTTAAACAAAGGCATATGCGCTTTCCACAGTTTTAGAAATTACCTCATTGGGGAAGTGGTAAACGCCAGGACAATGCAGAGCTGCTATCCCAATGCTCTGACTTTTTGATCCTGAGAATTAGGATTAGACAAGAGACAAGTTCAGGAGGGAAACTGATGGGGGGCGGGGAGAGACAAAAATGAAGCACTGGAATGAAGGCATTCCCATCCTCAGCATCCCTCAGTTTATTCCCTCTTGAAATTTTGCAATTCAAACATCTATTAAGCACCTCCTGGGGTCCAGGAGCCCAGGCCAACAGGCTGGCTGCTGTCTGGCCAGATCAAAACTGTCAATCTGATTTGTCATCGCCTGAGACAACTGGTCCTACACACCCCGGCTCTATTTTGGTGACAGATTCTTTGGTGAGCGCAGGAGATGCTGGGGGTGTTTCTTGTACAGTGTGAGTCAGAGCCAGACAGACTGGTGGTGCAGGGACAGTGGGGGGGAAGCTGCAAACCCACACCCCACCTGGATTCCTGGAACAAGACCTGGCCCCAGCCCACTTGCTGTTCTCCCTTCTGTCTCTCTGTGACTGCCACTGTCTCTCTGTCAGTGTCTGTCTGTCTTGTTCTCTTTGAAAGGGCAGTGATTTGGCCCACTCTAGATTCATGAGGGGAGATAAAAAGGGGAAATGAAGAAGTGGAAAGAGGCTGTCAGAAGAATGAGGTGGGGGGTGCATGACAAACAAAACAGCAGAAGGAAAGAGAAAACTATTAGCCATTTCCCATAAGCTAATTTTAAAACAACCCTGGAACTGAGAGAAAGTCAGTCCAGTCTACCTGCTGATTAGAGACTTCACCTATCCTGGGGCTGCTGTCAAAAGACAAAAATAAAACTACGATATTCAAGAAACAATTGTCAGAAGATCTGAGAACAAAATCTGGTGAAAGGCAATGTTAGCTCAGCTCTCAGCTACAAATCTCCTCTTTACGGCCCCTGGTTATTTAAACCATCATGGAATCAAGCCATGAAAAGAAAAATTTCAATTTGAAATTTTATTAGCAGGTCCCTAAAATGCTTTAATAAAACATCAACGTGATTGACTCTGTTGACATAATTGGAAAATTGTTCTTGCTGTATTTTCTTTTCTTTTTTCCTTTAAACTTTGCCCGTTGTCCCAATGACTCAGACGTCTTAAAGTCAAACCAAGTTGCCCAGGTATGATATGCTGGCTTCCCTTCTGCCGCCCGGGCAATCCTGGGCAATTGCTACTTGCCTCCCTCTCCTTCCACCCAGGTGGGCCAGGTTTGAAATGGAGCCAGAAGGCAGGGGATCTAGCTGCTCTTACAAGGTTTGCCAGGAGGGGTCACCGGCTCCCTTTTCTGGGGGCAGGATCTTGCCCACCTGGTTTCGATTACCAGGCCCAGGGGAGGGTAGGTGGACCCACCTCCTCAGTTCCCAGCCGGCAGCTGAGCACCACCACCACCAGCTGAGTCCTCCAGGAATTCTGGAGGTGGATAACACCTCTGCAGGAAGATGGGGAGCTGGGACAACAGCCCGAGAAGCCAGCACTGTCCAGAAGCCAAAGAGGTCTGAGGCCAGAGGGCCAGGGCAGAGCTAGGATAACCTGGGCACTTTACCTGGTCCCCAAGTGGCTTCCTGTGGAATTATATCCGGGAGCTCAGGAACGTGGCGTCATTTATTTCTTTAGGAAACCCTACAAACCCAAGGACATTGGGCTCCAGAAGAAAGCCTGGTGATCTAGCTGAGGTTCTCAGGCCTTCTCAGATCCCTTCCTCCCCTTCTGTAGCAGTGGCTGTGCTCCTGAGGCAGAGAGCACAGTCCCCACTTGGAAAAGGGATACTGGTGTGGGAACAGCCCATTGTACCCAGTAACCCTCTCATGTTTGTTCCTCTAGCTGCAAAGGGCCTCGGCCTGGGGCCCTGACTTCTTGCCCTCCCCACGTGCTACTGGTCCCTACATCTGGGAGAGGATCCCCTCCTTAACAAGGCCAGGACAGCTGGCTTCAGGGGCAAGGAGGAGACCTTCAGCTCTTCCTCCTTCTCCTCCGGACGCCTCCTTCTGCCTCAGCCAATTCCCCAAAAGGTCTAAACGTCTGAGGAGCAAGACCCCATGGCTGCCCGTCCCTAGCAATGTGTGGGCAACACAGAACCAGCCAGTGGGGGCTCTGGGCCTGTTGAGGTTAGGGAGGGGTCGTGCTGAGTTACACAGAGGAGTTTTCCACCGATTTGGGAAGCTAGAGGAGGGAAGGGGAGGAGGGAGACTAGGCGAAGAAAGGGAAAAGGGAAAGGGAGAGGAAAGGAGGGGAGGGAGAGAAAGGAGAGAGGCAGCGGCGGGTCCGGGCTACTCCTTGCCATCCACCAGGGCAGCCAGCTCCTTGATGACCCGAAGCGTGCCGCTGGCGTCCACGCGCCGCTTCTCCCGGATGAGGTCCTCTAGACTGTGGAACCTGGCCGTGTGCACCTTGCCGTCCCCCAGGTGCACCTTGAGATAGTACTGCAGCTGCGGGGGCTGGCTGCCCGCGGGCAGTTCGCCGCCAGCCTTGAACTCGCGCTTGCCGAAGCGGCACCAGGCGGCGAAGCTCTCGGAGTTGGTCCAGCACACGTCGGGGCTCTTGAGGCCCAGGTGGCCGCAGGCGTTCTGCACCACCAGCTCGGCCAGCAGGGGCCGGTAGCGGTACCAGTTACTCACCACTCTGCCCACGTTGGCAGCGCCCGCCTCGTACAAGCTGTCCTGGCGGATCTCGCCCCGGTGCAGGTGGATGACCTGGCCGCCGCCCACGTAGACCGCCCAGTGCGGGGGCGGCGGCGGCGGCGCAGACCCGGGGGGCTCCCCGGCGGCGGCGGCGGCGGCGGCGGCGGGCGGCCGCAGCCACAGCAGCTCCACGAGGTCGCCGGGCTGGCAGAGGGCGGGCAGGGCAGTCACCGCGTAGACCCCCAGCTCCCCGGCGCCCCCGCCTCCCTTGGAGAAGATGCATTCGGGCCCACGGAAGGCGGAACACTGGGCTTCGTGCAGCACCAGCTGGTGCACCAGGTGGTGCGGGTGGTGGGTGGGCGTCCCGGGGCCCGGGCTGCCCCCGCCGTCGCCGCCGCCGCCGCCGCCCGGGGGCCCCTTTACGCCGTACTTGTCTGGCTGGCCTCGCTCATCCGCGTCCTCCTCCTCATCGGAGAAGAAGTAGGCGACCCCGACCCGCAGCTCGTCCTGCTCGATGCCCGACGGGTCCCCGGTGGGCAGCTCGCTGTAGCTCAGGTGCGTGATCCGGTCCAGTTGGTTTCCCATCAAGGACAGGCCGATGCCGGGGAGCTGGGCGCGGGGCACGGAGGAGCCAGTCCCAGATCCAGGGAGGAAAGGCAGCGGGGGGGGGGGGGGGGAAGCAAGAGAAAAAGCCGTGAGAACAGGCGGGGGCCGGCCGTCGGAGCCCCCCCCACCCCCGAGCCGAAGCGCTCGCCCGCCCTTCCGCGGGCCTCCTTCTCAGGGTCCGAGGGAGCACAAGCGTGCCTAGGGCTGTGCGTGGGAGGCAGCCGGGGGCCCGGAGCGCCTTCCCGGGGGTCAGGCCTGCGACTGCCCACTGCCTCGCCCTCCCCGGCCCGCCCCGGGCCAGGGCGATCCAACCCAGCCTAGTCTAGCACCTTCTGGAACCGCCTCCTCTCAGCCTCCGCTGGGCCAGCCTTCTCCTTCCTCTCCCGCCTCGGCCCTGTCGGGGTCTGGCCATAGGGAGCGAGGCTGGGCGGAGGAGCGAAAACAGAGGCGAGGTCCCCATTCCGCTCAGCTCGGCCTCGGCGCCCCCCCCCCCACCCCCGTCCCAGGACATGCCCGGCGCCCGAGGAACGAGGAGGGCTCCTGGGCGCAGCTCTCCAGTCTGCCCAGGCTGCGGGGGGATGGGGGTTGGGTGGGGGGAGCGCAAAGCTAGCGGAGGCTCTGGGGAGGCTGGCCCTTAGGAGGGAGGAGTCCAGGGACTGGCAGAGAGAGCAAGGGTGCACGGGGAAGAAGACTCTGGGTCCCGAGGGTCCAGACGGAAGGCAGTGACGACGGGGATCCCCCGCGCCCCTCAGCGCAGAGCGCACTGCTCGGGAGTCCTGCCGAGCCTCTCTGTGTCACGCACACACACGCGCGCGCACACGCACAAACACACATACACGCATGCACACACACACGCACAAACACACACACAGATACACGCATGCACACACACACGCACACACAAACACACATACACGCATGCACACACGCACAAACACACACAAACACACACACACATACACGCATGCACGCACACACAAACACACATACACGCACACACACGCATGCACACACA